ATGCAATTACGTACAGCACTGGTCTGTGCGACGAGCCCATTGTTAGGCAGTTACTGATGTGCGCAATTGTGATATTATTGAGAATATTGAACGAACATAGCACTCTTATTAACAACGAAGAAGCAATGTATTGTCTTGTAGAAGCTTTTGGGGAAGAAGTTTATTCTGCAGGTGAGATGTGCTATGTTTATGATTATTGGATAATTAATTTTTGTACTTATGTCTTAAATTCTGTGAACCAGAATCCAAATTGAAAAAGCGAAAGAGAGATGATAATGCTGGCATAATGATAACTAGTGACAGTGACTACAATGGCAGTGGTTTAGCACTGGCAGTAAAATTGTGGGATTTATTACATAGTAATGACTATCTTCAAAGAGAAATAACTAAATTGAATCAATAATTACGGCTAGATAATTGGCTAAATCTCTTCTTAACAGATTTAGCAATTTATAAAGGTTTACATCATGAAGTAAGGGCCAGATTATTAGAAGGGAATACTTTATCTGGTAATATTCGTTTGGCCTGTACAAGTTTTTTTTTGAAAGATTACCAGGTGTGCTATAATTATATTTTTTATTAAATCTTAATTATACAGCAACAAATAATGCTGATTATAAGAAAGTTCTTAAATTTAATTATATAGTGTATTTTTCGCTAAAATTATTAAATAATTTCTCTTCTAGGCTATGTTGGAATATATTGTCGCAGTAACGAACTCTTTACCTGCTACATCAGGCAAAATATCTCACACTTTGACAGTTCCAAGCACGAGACATTTACATTATTTGACTCTTGCTCGTTTTCCTATTTTACAATATTGTAGTAAATTACTTCTTTCAGCTATAAAGGTAATCATTATTTTAAAAGCCTTTTATATTGAAATATATGATTGATTTAACTTTAGGAAAATTTTTCTTCACCTGGAAATATTGGAGATTTGTCTATTGGACATGCATTGGTCCTTATACAGATAGATTGGCCGCAAGAAGCTAATGTTTTAACTACAATAACAGAACAAATTCTCAATCGTGGAAGTTTTATTTATCCATTATTCCAATCATACATAATATGTATAGACATCTTAGAAGAATTAACGTATTTATGGTCTGACCATGGCGGAGCAGTATCACTAGACATAACAACAGGAATGGCGATTATACAAAGTATATATAATATATAACATTCTTTAATATAGTGTACTATTACAATATATATTATATAGAAGTAAAAAAAATTATATGAGAGAATTATTCTAGATCGCCGTGTCACAACTCGTGGTGCTGATAAGGGAGTGCGTGAGGAATTTAAGCAAGCTATGCGTCAACAAGCCGCACGGGACGGTGCTGTATATTTAGATGAACTATTAGAGAAATTTATTATTAATGAACAAAACGTCATTCTGCATAGCTTAGGCCGGCCACAAACGTTCAAGTAACTTGTCAAGTATATATATCTGTATAAGTTTGTTGGAATGTGTGTGCTGATATTTGCGATAAAACTGTACAGTTTTGTCATACACGTTCCAATAAACTTGCACAAGCATGCTTGTGCAAACTATACAGACACAGTGTACATATATATATATATAGTTCATTAACGTAATAATATATCATTATCGAGCATTTTTGCATTTGAAGATGAGATAAATATACTTGAGCATTGAAGAAAATGGAGAGTACAAAAAGTGCAAACAATGAGCATTCTGATTAAATTTTAGAATTAGTTTGTGCTATGTCATTACAAATGCTCTGATTTATTTATGCAAGGCCGTTTGCGCAAGTATCTAATGAATTTTCATATTTGCTCTAGTCACTTGTATAAGCCAAAATAACTTTGTAGTTTTGTTACATACAAACGCTACTTGTACAAGTGGCTTGCGCATGTATATTTGATAAGTTTATTTAAACATATATGGCTGGCATTGATTCCAAACAGATTATGACTACAAGTATGTGGTGAGATTCAAAATTCATCCATTGAATTAATTTGAAATTTTATCATACATTTGTAGTCATAACTTATACATAATATTTTTTTATCAAATTTTTTGAAATAATATAAATTCCCAACATCCATAATTTAATTTTTGCTATTGATTGTTATTTAATAAAAATAATTGTGTGACATTTTGTAAATTATGTATTTATAAAAAGGTTTTATAAAATTTAATACAAATTAAAAATATAATATATAATAACATTTATTTCTTGCACAAAATCTTATTTTATATATTAAGTATACAATAAACACAAAGTGAAAACCAATGTTTTAAGATTTATAAAAAAAAAATGTTTAATTTTCTGATATAAGATTTTAATATTATAATTATATATACAAATGATTAAAACAAAGTTTTGTTTTAACATTTTACCTGTAAATTTTTTATATGGACGTTTTCTCTGTGTGTGAGTGTGTAAATATTTTATTTTTTTACATATATATCTCTAACAATAGGATTAATCAACAAACTAATGTAAAATTATTCTGATAACTGATAAAATATAATTTTCAAAGCAGAATATATAAAATTTAATTGACAAATAATAAGTAATTGATTACAGGTATATAATATGCTACATTATTCATTACTTACGATCAATTGTTATACAAAGTTAATATAACATATAATTCTGTCATTAAGACTGTTCGCAATTATAAAAATTCATACTGAATATATATGAACAATTTAGATTTTTAGGCATTCTATCTAATGTAAACGCTCAATTGAAGAGCACTTAACAGTAATACTTTTATCCCAGGCATAAAGGAAGCTATTTGACTAAAATCTGGTCCTGATACTAATTGTGTATGTAAGTCTAGTCCGCCTGTATAATTGCCATTTTGAATCATCTGTGATATTTGATGTAAGCCTTGCAATGTATTCTGAGATAACTGAAAAAAAGAATTTGTATTATTGTACATATACATAATGTACATACAATAATATTACAATTTACCTTATTTTCTCTAAGGCAATCATATAGTACTTCCAGTTTTTTTGACACATCTTCTATCTTTCTTTTGATTTGCTAGAAAAATAATGCGAATACAAATATTTTATATTAATAAAAAATGTGAATGTATATGTAGGTATTGTTATATACGTGTTAAAAAATGAGTATTTACCGGATTCTTTGCATTTTCATAGCATTGATTTTTTAATTCATCCAAAATCGTTTTTAAATGCATATGTTGCTCGGGTATAGGTGCTTTAGGTTTCTCAGGTTCCGCAACTCTTGCAGGCATTACAGATTGTGATGATTCAACTGGTTTGTTAAGTGGTACCGGATTTGATACACCTTGCCTGAATTGCGGATTATAAACTGCAGGAGATTCTTGATAGAAATTGTCTTGAGGTAACAACTAAAAAAAATTACATCAAAATACAAACACATAAATACGTGCATATAAATATAAAATACTAAGTGAAAATCAACCGTGAAATATTCAATACAATTATATGTAAGGCTTACACTCGGTTCTGGTTGATTAGTTTGCAATGGATGCATTATTGGATTTTGTGATTGATAATCTGTCTTCGGCTGAAAAATATAAATAATTTATTCTCTTAATGCTGCGTTCTTAATATAGACTTTTCAGCCACTTTATAATGGTGATTGATAACGCGTCTGTAACACTATGAAAGCTTCCAGACAACAAAGCTT